TTTTTTTTCTTTTTTACGCCGAGCTCGCGATGCAGATACACGTGCTGGGGTGTACATGCAGCTCCTCATGCTCACAGTGCAGAACGAGGTGTACGTACAGCTGGTGCTGGTGTAGGGTATAGAGAGAGAGAAAGAGAGAGAAAGAGAAAGAGAGAGAAAGAGAGAGAGAAAGAGAAAGAGAGATAAAGAGAGAGAGAGAGAGGGGGGGGGGTTGCTCTGTCTCTTATAGTCGCCGTCACCAGCATGCAGCTCTCCATATGCATGCAGCTGGCAGTCTGCTGCTGCTGCTGCTGCTGCTGCTGCTGCTGCTGCTGGTGGTTGTGAAGGTTGAGGTGTACATACACTGGGCCCTGTGGTGTACATACAGCTGGCGGTGTACATACACTCGGTGGTGTAGGCGTAGAGAGATGAAGCTGCACATACACCCCACGGTGTCTGCGTTGCTTGGGGTGTACATACACCCCGCGATACAGCGGGAGGTGTACATACACCCGAACCCAGGGGCAGGGTAGAGTTGCTGCTGTGCATACACCTGGTGGTGTAGGTGTAGATACAGCTGGCGGTGTACATACACTCGGTGGTGTAGGCGTAGATATATTGAGGTGTACATACACCCCGCGCTCTCGTCCGTGCTGTACATACAGCTGCAGCTTTATATACACTCGGGCTGTACGCGTAGATACGGAGATCTATTATATACACCTGCGGTGTATATACACCTCGCGGTGTACAGGCAGCTCGCGGTGTACATGCAGCTCGCGGTGTAATGGCAACTCGCGGTGTACAGGCAGCTCGCGGTGTGCATGGAGCTCAAGGTGTATATACACGTCGCGGTGTACATGCAGCTCACGGTGTATGTACACCTCGCGGTGTACAGGCAGCTCACGGTGTACAGGCAGCTCACGGTGTACAGGCAGCTCGCGGTGTGCATGGAGCTCACGGTGTACAGGCAGCTCACAGTGTAAAGGCAGCTCGCGGTGTACATGCAGGTGGCGGTGTACATGCAGCTCGCGGTGTACATGCAGCTCGCGGTGTACATGCAGCTCACGGTGTATATACACCTCGCGGTGTACATGCAGCTCACGGTGTATATACACCTCGCGGTGTACGGGCAGCTCGCGGTGTACAGGCATGCAGCTCACGGTGTACATGCAGCTCGCGGTGCACATGCAGCTCACGGTGTACGTGCAGCTCACGGTGTACAGGCAGCGCGCGGTGTAAAGGCAGCTCACGGTGTACATGCAGCTCGCGGTGTACATGCAGCTCGCAGTGTGCATGCAGCTCACGGTTTACAGGCAGCTCACGGTGTACAGGCAGCTCAAGGTGTATATACACCTCGCGGTGTACATGCAGTTCGCGGTGTACAGGCAGCTCGCGGTGTACAGGCAGCTCACAGTGTAAAGGCAGCTCGCGGTGTACATGCAGCTCGCGGTGTACTGGCAGCTCGCGGTGAACAGGCAGCTCGGGGTGTACAGGCAGCTCGCGGTGTACAGGCAGCTCACGGTGTATATACACCTCGCGGTGTACGTGCAGCTCGCGGTGTACATGCAGCTCGCGGTGTAAAGGCAGCTCACGGTGTACAGGCAGCTCACGGTGTATATACACCTCGCGGTGTAAAAGCAGCTCGCGGTGTACAGGCAGGCGGCTCGCGGTGTACAGGCAGCGCGCGGTGTACATGCAGCTCGCGGTGTACAGGCAGCTCGCGGTGTATATACACCTCGCGGTGTACGGGCAGCTGGCGGTGTACATGCAG